GCCCGGAGAGGCATGGCGTTCCTCAGGGGCGCCGGCAGGGGGCGCTCTCGTGCCGCCGAGGCCCGCGGCGCTGTCCTACTTTCCCAGGCTGCGCAGGGCTGGCTGGGCACCTGCCAGCATCCAGGCGGCAGTTACATAAGCGCGTCTTTTTCCTGGAATTTAGGCTCATGCTGATGTGTGACCTTCAGCGCGATGGCCAATAAACGCAGCGGGCTGTTTACTGCTAGGCACTGGCGGCAGGGGCGAGGGCAGGGCCTGGGAGTCTCTCTCTCTCTCTCTCTCTCTCTCTCTCTCGCTCTCGCTCTCTGGCTCTCTCGCTCTGTCTCGTGCTAGATTATTCCATAATGACGGAGGTTGTGTAACTGAGTCAAGTGAGAACACGTGGGGTTTTATTTAAGTGAGTTTGCGTTCTCGTGGACTTGCTCTGGGCAGTGTAGGGGAAGCTACGTAACTTGACTGCTGAGTTTGTTTCTAAAACAAATGTCCGTGTAAAGGGACTGAGTTAGCGGGTGGGGGTGAGCACGGTTCTGCTGACAAGCGAGGTCCCTGGCGTTTCAGCTCCGTTTTTTCTCGCAGGGCTCTGTGCTGCCGGCGTGGGCTTTCCGAGCCCAGCCCCGGGTTTCAAGCCCCTTCGGGCTGTCTGCTCCCTGCTCTGCGTGCTGAGTGGGGAGCAGGGCCTGGAGACGGACCAGGGTTAGAGATGAGAAGTTCCCTTTGACGTGCCGACGACTGGGCCGTTAGGCAGACGGCACTGCCCTTCTGCGGGGATGGTCCGTGGTGGGAGAGAGCTTATTTTGAGGGAACACTCTAGGAGCCCTGAGGTGGTAGAGGAATGCGTGTTGAAAACAAAGGGTGTTTAGTGTCTGTGCTGGCCAATGACACATGGATGGAGGGACAGACGGATGGATTGAAGGGTAGATGGACAGGTGGGTGAAGGGAGGGAGGGAGGGGTAGGTGTGTGGATAGGTTGATATTGGGTGGATGGATGGATGGATGGATGATAGATGGATAGGTGGGTGGATGGAAGGATAGAAGGATGGGTGGATGGATGTTTGGAAGGAAGGATGGAGGAATGGATGAATAGATAGATGGATAGATAGATGATAGATGGATTGGTAAACGGGTGGATGGACATGTGTTTGCCCATTGGTCAATCAGTCTGTCCATCTATGGATGGGTGGGTGGATGCAGGGATGGGTGGGTGGATAGATATGAGTGGTTGCTGTTATCATACACCAGAAATGGTAACACCAGGAAGTCCGTGGCCTCCTTATCTAAGAGTGAGACAGAGTATACTCTCCTTCATTTACAGCAGAAACTCATCCCTCCATGAAACGTTAAGCATGTCATGTGTTGAAAGTGAGCGCTTCGGTGACTTACATGCTCTCAGGGACCACAGTCCTGATGCCCGGCGGCCTCCCCGGGAAGGACACGGGGTTCTGTGACTTGAGGCTCATTTTGAGTTTCTGCTTCAAAGCCAGCCATGTGAAATCTGGGTTTCCTGTTGCATTGAGTTTTCTATTGTCTAAAAGCACTGGGAAGACTTGAGATCAAAGACAAGCTGTGAAGTGGCCATAGAGGGCAATCGTTGGTTTCCAAGTTCAAAGCCAGGCAACATCCGATCGTTGCCAACCACCTGGATGGAGGGCTCAGCACCCGGGGGTGGGCCTGAGGTGGGAGGAGGCAGCGTGCTCCCCCTCAGCGTGTGGTCACGGAGAATGACCTTGCATGTAAAAAAAAATTAACTTTGATAATAAAAATGTGCTGAGAAAGTCACTCCATTCATTTACTAAACATCCCCTCTTGCTTTGGGGATTACGTGCTGTGTTTATGTAGCTGTTGTCTGATGTGACATAGCTTATTGAGGTGATTATATTTCTCAAAATTGCGACTTGCTGCCATAAAGTGACCTACCCCTCAAGGAAACAGGGCAGAAGTCCTCGTCGGAGGCAGCGTTGGGAAAGGCTGTTGGTGGTGGTGGTGGTTGTTGCGTGTGGTTTTTTTTAACCAAATTATATGCCAGGTGTGCTTGCCTGTCCCCTGCCTGCAAGCGTTGTGTGTCCGAGTGGGTCACAGTTAGAGAACTTGCCTGTTAGGAGTTATGAAATGAAGTTTACTGACAATACAGCAGGCATTGCACAATGTTTTAGCAGGAAGGCGCCTGATGAATATCTCCTTGAGCCAGGCCAGGGGGCAGGAGCCCAGAGCCTGGGGCGGCTCGAGGTGGCACGGAGAGCCCAGGGCCGCAGGAGGGCCGGTCGCACGACCCCCTGGTGTCCAGGGCCCCTGGTGTCTCCCTTCTGCCCCGTGAGTAGACAGCGTGAAGCAGTCCTTCCGCTTAGAGAGTGACCCTAAAGCTGCACACCGCCATCCTTGTCTCCGAATCCTCCGTGAGACGTTCAAGGAAGAAAGATACTTCAGCCCCGGCCGGTGCGGCTCAGTGGGTAGAGCGGCCGCCTGCGGACTGAAGGGTCCCAGGTTCGATTCCCATCAAGGGCACATGCCAGGGTTGTGGACTGGATCCTCAGTGTGGGGCGAGCAAGAGGCAGCCGGTCAATGATTCTCTCTCATCATGGACGTTTCTCTCTCTCTCTCCCTTTCTCTTCCTCTCTGAAATCAATAAAAACATTTTTTTAAAAAAAAACATTTTTTCCCACCTTGGGGGTCGACCACCAAATGGGTGGTTGAGCTGCACTGACTGCCCCGAGTCTCACAGCCGGTGCCCAGCTTCCAACCCCGGCCCCGGCCTCGAGGTGCCCTGTCGCTGGAGCACCTCAAGGAGACCAGGTCCCTCCCTCACAGCCTGAGCCGTGGCCTCTCTGCAGGGCCCCACCTGCCTGGTCCAGGAGCCCTGGTGGGGCCCATGGATCAGCTGCCTCCTACACGCCCCTGACTGGCCCATGGGGCATCAGCTCCGGGCCCAGCTGTGGGCTCTGCCTTCACAGGGGCGTGGCCTTTCCTCCAGCCCCGCCTCCTTTTGGCCCCGCCCACCTTCTCCAGGACCCAGGTTTCCCTGGGGCACCCTCTCTCCTCTCTCTCTCTCTCTCTCTCTCTCTCTCTCTCATTTTAGAAAGAATGAAATGGAGGGGGTGTCAGCATGGTCTGCAGGAGTGGGGCCAGGACCCGAGTTCAGGGGGTTCTGAGGGGCTGCTGGGGGTAGCCCTGCCCACAGCAGCCTTTCTCCCCAGAGATGTCGCAGGGGAGCCGGTCCTCAGCCTCCGAGACAGGCACAGGGCTGGGGACGACATGGACATGCCTGCACCCAGGGAGGCCCCATCAGGGAGTGGGGGTGACAGCGCCAGGCCCTGGGGGGGCTGCCCGAGCCCTTCTGTCAGCACCACCCCGCCTCCTGCCCGAGCCTCTGTGGTGTGCACTCTCTCTGTCTTCCTCTCTGTGGATGAACCTTTTTAAATATATATATATATATAATTTTTAAATTAATTTAAGAGAGAAAGGGAGAGAGCGATAGAAACATCAATAATGATGGAGAGAATCATGGATCAGCTGCCTCCTACACGCCCCTGACTGGGGATGGAGCCCACAACCCGGGCCTGTGCCCCGACCGGGAATGGAACTGTGACCTCCTGTTCCTAGGTCGACGCTCCGCCCCTGAGCCACTAAAGACGTTTCCTTCCTGGTGGTGGGACTCTGCTTTGTTTCTCTCCCTGTTTTACACGCTTCCTCGTCTCAGGATCTCAGGCTGGGGTGCCCAGGGCAGCAGGATCGGGTCCCTGTAATAGGGAGAGTGTCTCCCCTCAAAGGCGCCCCCTGGTGGGCACAGGCCCCTCACTGTCCCCTTGCCGCTGTGCGTGTCCTTCAGTGTCGGTCTCGGTGTCTCGGTGGCCCGGTGTCTCTGTGGCCCCGTGTCTCCGTGGCCCCGTGTCTCTGTGGCCCGGTGTCTCTGTGGCCCAGCGTCTCTGTGGCCCGGTGTCTCTGTGGCCCGGCGCGTGCCCTCACTAACCTGCTCTCTCCTCCCCGACCAGCTGCCACAGGCCCCGGACCCCGAGAGCTCCACAGAGGTGTGTGCGCCCCTCCCCGCCCCGTGTCTGCGGGCCGGCAGCGCGGGGGCTCCTCAGTTGTCCTGAGTGTCTGCGTTGTCATGGAGACATGTGTGTCTGTCCGGACAGGAGCGGGGTTTGGGGGGGACAGTCTGTGGCCTGGCCGGGAACTGGGGTGGCTCTCGGGGTAGGAAAAGGTCCCGAGGGGCTGGGGCTACACCCGAGGCCCCTGCAGGGACGGGGGAGGCCCGAAGGCCCGCACCCAGCACTGCAGGCTCCACTGCTCCCTCGGGACCTGGGACGCAGCCCTGTCCGGCCATGAAACAGGCTCTGGGTCCCGGGCAGGGAGGATGCGCACCCCGAGTCTGGGCCTGAAGGGGCTGCGCGTAGAGCCGGGTCTCAGATGCTCTCGGCCCTGGCGCCGAGCACACTCGCTAAGGGAGGGGCTGGATTCAGGGCGCCCAGAGCCACAGAGGAGCTTGGGGGGCATGTGGTCCAGGCTCCCAACCTGCTGCCAGGAAACCTCCCGAAACCCCAAGTGAGAGCGGGAGTGGGGGCCCACGTGCCGCTTCCTAACCAGCAGCGTCTCGTATTCTCATCGGGCTCTTGCTCGCCGTCGATGAAAATGCGGGTGCTGGTGGGCCGGGGAGAGCCACGCTCCGTGTCCGTGTCTGCTGGCGTGTCTCGTGGATGTTCTCACGCATGCGCCATGCAGGGGTGCATGTCTGAGCCGCGGGACCTGCCCAGTTGAGTTTGCGTTATGCACAGATACATAATGTAGAACTTCATTTCATCAGCTTTGCAAAAAAAAAGTGTTGGCCAAACATCCGTGTGTCGCTCGTTTTCCACAGAGCAGGGTGGGTGCCGGGCGAGGCGCTGTCCCGCGTGCCCGGGCGCTAACGTCCATCGGGGGAGTGTGTCCTCTGTGTGCATCTGGGCTCTGTGAGCCCCCGGGGCGCCCGGGGCTGGGGGCCGATGCCCAAGACCCCGCGGCTCCTGCCTGCACTTAAGACGGGATTTCTGCGTGTTTAGCAGGAGGCCGAGCCAAGTCCGCCCCTGAGGCAACTGGAGGACCATAAACGGGTACGTAGGGGTCCTGGGGGTTGGGGGCTCCCTCAGCCACACGGCAGCGTAGAGGCCGTGTTTCTGGTGGGCGTTGTGGAAGCAGGACTCGGTCAGGCCCCGTCACAGCCACTTCCATGGCAGGCTCCCCTGCACCCACCTGGGCCCCCGACAGGGACCCTGTCAGCTGTCCAGGTCTGCTCTCCTTTCTGCGGCGGCTTCTACGCGGCTGCAGTCTGAACATCTCTTTCCCTGTGAGTAACCGATGGTCATTATGGAGAGTTTATCATAAAGACAGAAGTGTTCCCCCCGCCCAGCTGCAGAGGGGCCTCGAAGGGCTGTGTCCTCCCTGCCCGGGTGCGGGGGGCCCAGCCGGCACGCACTCCCACCGTCTCCGGGATGATTCATGCACGGCTTTCGGGCCTTGCTTTTGTGCACGTCATACTCCAGCGGAGCATTTTCTCCGAGAGTCTTAGAAAGTCGGCAGCTGCCTAAAGTTCCACAAATTCTCACGTGGCTTGTCATTGTTTCCCTGTGACGGGAACGGCCGAGTGAGTGTTATCTCCAGGTAGGCTAGGTTCCTGGAGAGGGGTTGCCGGGCCATGGGGTGGGGGCTCCCTTGCAGGTGCCGACTGGGATCTGGGCCTCAGTTTCTGCTTCTGTGGAATGGCATGATCAGTCTCCATCCCTTCGGGCAGTCTGTGGACTGTGCCCACCACACGCTCAGCAGGACCATGATGAGGGACGTTCACTGGTGCTCGCTGGTGTCACCTTGCAAGCGGAGATGCCTCGGTGGTTTTGTGGACAACAGGCGTAGGAAAGGAGGTGATTCTCAACTGCGTGCTGGCGCAGGTGGGAAAGGCCCGCCGCTCATGCGAGACCCGGGTCTTGCCTGAAACAGGGTTCTCAGTGGCTGGCGCCTGAGAAGCCGAAGGTCACCGCCACCCCCTCCTCCCCCCTCCCCACCTGGAACTGACCCCTTCAGGTCAAGTTCTCCACCTGGCTCCTTAGCCACGGGTTTCGGTGACAGACGGGAGCTCGTCTGAGCCTGGCTGCGGGGCCGCTTGGCTTCCCGGCCCACGTCACTGTTTTCACAGGACACTCTCGGGGTGAAGGGCACCCCCCCCCTCTCTCCGTCTTATGCCATGATGTGCGGAGCTTCTTACCGGAGTTTGCACACGGCAGGTGTGAACTGCTGGGGAGACCAGCATTCTTTCCTCTTCCTTCACCGTCCGTCACCGGCTCGGGTCACGTGGCCGAACCTCACAGCTGAAGAGGGGACGTCAGCGGGCGGCCATTGTTCTGTCTCCTCCGCCAGGGTCCTGGGGGGCGCCCCGGACGGCTTCGTGCTGGGGAGTCGCGTGTCCCGGGGACAGGCAGCTTTGTTAGCAGATCTCCTTTGTCCCCGTGGGGCCCCACCGGCTTCTCCTCGAACCCACGTTTCCACACCAGGACTCGCACAGCCTCCGGTCATGCCACCCCCTTCCTTCCTCTGTCCCCTTCTACCTCAAAGCCTTTTTCTTTCAGAAAAGGGACGCATCTTACTTGGCTTTTCAAAAACAAATCCCACGTGTCCTGGTTTCCATGCAGCCTGTTTGTTTGCTCATTTATTTATGGAGAGAAGGGGAGATAAATCGATCCCAAAGCCTCCCAGGAAGAGGAGGGAAATAAACATTTGGGGGTGGGCTGTGCCTAGGTGGGCTTTTTTTCCATGATGAGCACATGTCACATTATCTTATGGGGAAAAGTGTCCGGGTTCGTACCTCAGTTGCTATGGTAACGGTGAGGGTTTCTCTGCAGAAGGAAGGGCAGCGTGAGAGGGGAGGCCCCTGTGACGGGAGGTCCCTGCGTGACCTGGGTCTGGCCCTCGGGCTGCCGCTCCCGGAGCGCGAGCTCCCAGGCCCCAGGCGCGCGTTCTCTTTCTGCCTCCGCTTCCTTCCTTCAGGCCACACTGACCTCGGTCTCACCCGTGACCATGGGCACCACCCGGAGCAGAACGTCTGACCTGTGCCGTGGGCCTCGGGGAGTGGGTGGGGCGGCCCTGCCTGCGACCATGCGGCCTGTGCCCTCCAGATCTCGCCCGAGGGCTGCGTTGGCGTCTGCTGGGCTGCGGCCCCGGTTCCAGCCCAGCCATCACCTCTCAGACGGGCCCGGGGGTCCAGTTAGAGGCTGGGCTGCTTTGCCGCCGTCCCTCCTCGAGTGGGAGCTCCGGGTCTGTGTCCCGTAGGGGTGTCCCCAGGTCACAGACGGAACGCGTTTCGCCTCCCGTCAGGGTCATCATGGCGGCAGCCTCTGCCCTCCCTGTGTCCGGCTCAGGGGCCTTGGCCACCCCAGCGCCATCCTCTTCGTGAGTCAGCGCGCTCAGTGGAGGAGTGGCTCCGGGTTCACACGGGCCCCGGAGGCCTGGACACCAGCCGACTGAATCTTTACACCACACGTGGCTTTTGAAGCCCCTGAGACGTGTTGCACCAAAGGCAGTTCCTTTAGGAGGGGCCTGGGAGCAGCGCGGAGGCCTCCCCTGGGGAGCGCTCTCGGAACTTGGAATTTGCCGTTGGTCGGGTAGGAAATGAGTTTCGTCAGCGCATGAAAGCGGCTACAGGAGAGGCATCTGTGGGTGGAAGGGAGAGAGGAAAAGCAGGCTTGTTTTTATTCCCTGAACTTTCATTTAAAAAGCAATTGTGCCCCCTTCCCGCCCCCGCCCCCTTTCTCTCCTGGGCACCCCTCCCGTTGTCCCGGAGTCTTTGACCAGCATCTTGCAGGGACAAAGGAGAAGCCCCCTGGGACCTTACCCGGGGCCCCTGGCCTGCCCACCTCCCTCAGGGCACCCCCTCTCCTGTCAGCTCCCCCCACCCTCACCCCACCCCCGTCTGGTTTTGCAAACACCTCCAGACCTATTCTGGGAGCTTGTTCGCAAATCCTTTAAGTTCTGCTGAGTCAGGTTACAGCTGCAGGTCTTGGTGGGGCTGGGAGCGACCTGCTGTGTGTCAGCACCTCCCTCCCTCCGCTGGACTCCCCACCTGCCGCCCTGCTGAGGTCCCCGGACGCCCCACCCCTCGCTCTGTCCTTGGAAGGAGTCTCGGCAATCCGTGCAGCCTTTGGCCTTTAGAAACTTCCAGACTGGGAGGCGGTCTGGCGTCGCTTAGCGAGGCGGCACTGGTCGCAGTGCCCTGGAGTAGAGGACACGCCCGAGTTTCATGTTTTTCGAGGGGCGTTGGGGAACGGTTGCGGCAGCCCTCTCCCAGCGTCCTTTGCTGTTGACATTAATGATTTTTTATTATGGGAACGTCCCGGTGTATGTGAAAGACATCAGAGGAGTGACAAGACCCTCTTTGGATCAGCTTCGACAGCTCGGCGCGTGCCCACTCTAGTCACACCCCTCTCCGCTCGCGCCCCCAACCCCCGCCTTGATGTCATCTCTTCCGTGATGCTTCTTTTTGACGGACGTCTGGTGTCGGCCACTCATTTATTTCCTGTTGCATAGTTTTCCTTCACCGCTTGCCCAGGGACGGTTCTGTCAGAAAGGCTCGCGTTCAGCCTGTTATTCCATCAGAGTCTGACTCGATGCCGTCCTGTTTCCCTGGGGTCTTGGGAGGGAGCCCTGGCCCAGGTTAGATCCTCTGTGGACGGTGACCTGCAGTATTTCCATTGTGTCCGATTGGCTGACCCCCAGGGGACTTTTGGGTTAATGTTTGTTAGCGCTCGCTGCCCTTCACGATGCATGTTCTGTTTATCACGGGGGTGGGGGGACCTCAGAGAGTGAATATTCTAGATTGCTCCTTTTTTCATGCTCTGGTTTCCCGAGAAACGACTGAAGGCGCTAACCGCGGAGTTTCCCAATGCTGTCATTAACCATTTATCTGCTCGGCGGGCGAAACCGCGCCAGTCTCACCCCAGCCCCCCTGCGCGTTTTGATGGTGAGTCGCTCGGTTACGCATTAAATCCAGAAGCTGATTTCGTTATCCTGTTTGAATTCAGGGTGAGGCGCTCAGGCAAATTTTGGTCAACCGTTACTATGGCAACGTCAGACCTTCCGGGAGAAGAGAGAGCCTCACCAGCTTCGGCAACGGCCCGCTGTCGCCCGGAGGACCCAGCAAGCCCGGGGGCGGAGGTAGGCTGTGAGTGCTGGCGGCTGCCCGGGGACACGCTGACCGGCGGCTTCGGGGTGCGAGTGGATCTTTGAGCAACTTGTCGTTGTCTTTGACCTGCCATCAAATGGGTGTCCCAGAACATTGACCTGCGGTCAGCTGCTGGCTGAGCCGGTCACCCCGCTGTTCCACGAGGGGGCGCCCTCGGTGACGTTTGAATGACGGGGAACTTGATTTTACGGCGTGTTTTCTTGTCACGAGGACGCATGTTTTCCCCTAAAATGACGGTACCGTTTGCCGTGAGGACGGCGAAGCCCCCACGTCTTGCCCGGCGACTTAGCCAAGGGCTCCCGGGCGTTCTGTATCCCGTACCTGGTGTTCTCCTCCGGGTTGCCCGCACGGGGCAGGTACGGTCATGTCCCGCTGGGCAGAGGGAATGGGAGTGGTCGGCGACGGGTCTGTGGCTTGAACCCGGTGTATCTAATTCGGATGCCCGTGCCCTGTGCCTTCCTGAGCCTTTACGGGAGTGGACCCCCAAAATCCGTGTGTAGAAACCAGCACAGATCCTTCAATGCTCCCCAGCGCTGGCGGCTCAGCTCCAGGCAAAGGAACGTTGCATAAACCCTGAGCTCGGCTGTGGGTGTTGGTCTGGCTTTGGGGGGCCAGGAGCTCGGGGCTCGGAGCACAGATGTGGGCGGCCTGAGTCCCTGTCAAGTAGCGATTCCGGGCGGGGGGGCTCTCTGAGGGACCCAGACATTTTCCCAGCAGCTTCCGGGAGGGACCTGGGTTCCTCCCAGATCAAGCCCCGTGGCGGGTCTGCTCAGTTCATGGCCCATCGCTCAGTGGAGCCGGCCCCGTCCTCCCCACACGGGTCCTGAGCTTTTCACCCGGAAGTTCCCAGCCATTCTCAAGCACAGTTTCCTCCCACAACATCTCAAAACAGTTTCTCGTTACTCTCCATGGGGAGACCTTTCCACAATAGGGGGGCGCCTGGGGAGGCCCCGGGGTAGGCAGGGTGTCAGGGACAGAGTCTGCCTCCTAGAAGCGCAGGGCGGAGACGAGCAGCCACCTGCACGAGAGACGAGGGTCTAGGTTGGCCAGAGCAGGAGGAGGTGGCATCTGAATCGAGTTCTCTGTTTTTCTGAAATTGATGGGCTGTTTTACCACGAACAGCGTCTCCGTTTTTGCCACTGACAGTGCAAGGAAAGTTCTCAAACGGACACTTTCCAAACGCAGGCCCTGCTCCCTGAAGGCGTGAGCCTCTGAAGGTCCCCGAGGACGGGAGCTTCATTTGTTTTGCTCACGCCCCGCCCCCCGCTCCTGGCTCCACACCAAGCACTCAGTACATCGTTGCCGAGTGAATGAAGGAATGAATGAACGGATAGGTTTTGTGAGAGGGTGAGCTTGGGCCAGGATGGGTTTGTCGGAAGAGGGCTGAAGGGGTCGCGATGGGCTGTGCGTTCTCAGGAGTGTTCTAAGGAGGGTTTGAGTCTGGTCCGCCTCTTAAACTCAAAGCAGGGCTTCGTGATTCTGCCCCGAGCCATTGTCTGCTGCGAGAGGGAGGGTCTGGGCTGCAAAAGCCCTGCTCTCTCTGCGTCTCACCTGCCGGGTTCAGGTACCATCTCCGCAACGACAGGTGGGCGTCCGCGGACAAGCGACTTCACCTCTGTGCTCGGCAGCTCCGGGTATTAGAATGGCTGAGGGGAAAACCATCGACATGTGGACGCGTGAAGTGTTGGCACAGCGTGATGCCCAGTAGCTGTCCGCTGCTCCGATGTGTCGGTAAGAGCCATGTTCCCTCTTCCCAGGGGGCGGCTCCGGGTCCAGCTCCATGAGCCGCGGCGAGATGAGCCTGGCCGAGGTCCAGTGCCACCTGGACAAGGAGGGGGCCTCCAACCTGGTCATCGACCTCATCATGAACGCGTCCAGCGACCGCGTGTTCCACGAGAGCATCCTCCTGGCCATCGCCCTTCTGGAAGGAGGCAACACCACCATACAGGTAGGGAGGCGGGTGGCTTCGAGCGTGGCTGTGGTGTGGCCTTGGGTGTGGCTGTGGTGTGGCCTCGGGCGTGGCCATGGGCTTGTGTGTGGCTGCAGTTTGTGGGCGTGGCTGCCGGCTTGTCCTCCCTGCCGAGCCCAGGAGCACCTGTGCTGGGAGCCACATACCCCCGTGGTGTGGAGACTCGCGTGTGAGCAGCAGCTGGTCCTGGCGCAGGGTCGTCCTGAGAGAGGAACCCCGACACTTTGCTGCGGTCGCTGTCAGCACTCAGACTTGTTCCAGAACAGGGGTTCCGTTTGCAAACGGATGACACTCTGAGCATGTGCGGAGGGAACTGCCGACCTGGGGCAGAGTTGGCTCCTACACGCAGTTTCCATCATGGTCATGGGTCCCATCACACGGTGACCAAGGAGATTAGACTGTGCCACTCCTCAGAGCCCGGTTCCCACTGGGGTGCTTCACGGCACCCACGGTGCACCCCAGTGAGAACATGGGGCGGAAAAGACCCAGAACCGGGGGGACGGGGGAGGGACAGGGTGGCGAGAATGGAGACCAGCCCTCCCTGCGCCAGGCCGTGCCGGGGCCGGTGGTGGATGTGAGGGTCGGCGATCAGATGCGGGGGATGCGAGGTGGGAGGCCCCGCTGGCTCTCCGGGCCTCCAGGAGTCTGGCCCAGCAGCC